CACACACTGTCAGAGCTATGTGAGATCACTACCGTCCTGCTTTTGTGGGGGTGGGTAGGGGTGTTAAATAATATTTTTTTTGTTGTTGTTTTGTTTAGTTTTTCCCACTAGGGTTTTTAACATTCTAAAAGCTTTTTATTACAAAGATACTACAAGCTAGTCAGTGTATTCAGTAGGTGTAATGTATTGTAAGTTGCTTCAGAGGTATTGCAAATACTACGTACAACAATAAAACAGTGCATTGACATAAAAAAGGAAATTTACTTTTGGTACTTAAGTACTTTTAAAAGCAAGTACTTCCGTACTTTGACTTAAGTAAAAATCTGTCTTTACAACTTTTACTTGTAATGGAGTAATATTTGACCAGCGGTATCTGTACTTTCACTCAAGTAATGGAGTTGAGTACTTTGTCCGCCTCTGGTGCTGGGCGGTATACCGGTTCATACCGAATACCGGTGTTTATTTTTGTTATGATATGAATTTTTAAATACCGCAATACGCTTGTATGTCGCTTAAACAAAGTTCGGAACGCGACATTGTTTGAAACGGGTCCCTTTTCACTGGTGCACTGTGGTGAGGGAACAGCTGTATGTGTTACTAAGCGTGAAAGTTCAGAAACTGAAGCTGTAGAACTAATAGAACGTGATGACACAGAAGAACTTACAGACAGTAGATGCACTGAGGAGGAAGTTGTCATTGTTGAAATAGTATGTTTACACAAATCTTATTTGAAAGCAAAATTTTTCATGATACACATCACCACTGGGATTGCAGTGACAGTTTAGGAACTGACATTTAGCAAACGAGCATAAAAAGATATCTCTTTGATTTCTCATATTTCTAACTTGCAGAGTTCAAGCTAATCTTTTTTTTTGTACCTCTCAGAACTCTGCGCCAGCACTTTGATGTGGGAAAGTTTGTAATGGTGAATGTTACTTTTGATCTGAATATCATGCTAATGTTGGGCTTCAAGCTAAAAGGAAAGGTTTTAGGAAATAAACTATTCTATCAGATACTCTATACAGTATTAACAAATCTGTAGCTGGTTTTTCACTTGAACAGGAATCTCCCAAAGGCTTTTGAGGGGCCACATTTTATTGATGCGGTAGTGGAATTGTGGGTGTGCTTTTAGAAAGATTTGTTGAGCTCTCAGTAATATTGTCTTCCTCAACCCCAAGTTAGAAGGGAGTCTCAGTACTCCTGAATCATGAATCATCATGATAGCCCTGCTAATGTTTCAGGTCACTGGTAATCGTAGCCTCTGGCTAAGCTCGACCTAACCTGCTGAACCCAGCCAAGAAAAAGCTGTTTAGGCATGAACTACATCCTTTTGTATGTGGAGAAGTCAGGAGTATAAATCAATGCCAGGGCAAAAAAGGAGTCAGAACTTTTCAAGAATTTCGGGAGGATTCTTTGTGGCGCTGTGGAATGTGCGCAAGATGAATGGCGTTAGATGAGTACGGAGAAAGTATGAGTGTTGGGGAAGTTATTCCAAAATAGTAGTAAGTTACTGATTTTTTTGTACAGCAGATTGCAATGGTATTACTTTTCTGTTCGGACTGACTAGTTAGTTATCACATTAACCATTACTAGGCGTAGATTGAATCTGCTGGCATTTTGTTTTACATTTTCTTTGTGTTTTTTTTGGATGAAAATGGGGTACTATTCTTACATCAGTCGATTCAGCCCCTGACTGAACATGTTTCTTAGGGGTGTTGACATTTTTGGATTCAAAAACAGCTAAATGCAGCACAATGGAATAGAGCAGACTATTTTTAACTTGACACACCAGCTGAAAAATACTTCTGCCTGTACCATTAAGAAAAGGTGTGAGACACAAAACAACGGCCAAAGACGATGGGGTTTTCCCCGCTGCAAAGTTACTGAATGTCAGAGATGTCAAATCCGCTATGATAATGAGTCAAAGTGGTTGTTTCAGTGTTGCTAGTATTCATGATGTCCTGCATTTCTGTGTTCTGATTGGAGCCTGCAGAGAATGGTTTAGTTTGTGTGTAGCGCAGAGGATCATTTTTGTTTTCATGCTTTTGGAATTACTGCTATTATTTGAGGTAATTGATACTAAAAGCAGTAGTTGACCGATATTGGATCTTCAATGGCTGATTTCAATACTAATATCTAGAGCCGGGTCGGCTGATATAATTCCATATGAATGAGCACTTGTTCTATACAATATTTACTCAAAAATCGGATATTTGAAAAAAATGTGCATGAACTGATACTTGGTGAATTTATTTCTTCTTTCTTTTAACATTTTGAAACAACACTTTAAGGCTATAGCTACAGTCATACAGAAAGTAAAACAAAATTTTTATGCAAAGTATGGAAGCAAAATAGCTTCAAAATCATTCAAATAATATGATTCACAAAATTGAAACCCAACTTCTTATTAAAAAATATGACACATGAAAAGCACAGTTCATAAATAGACATGGTGTGTTTACAAAATTTTTGTATGTATGTGTTGATTGTTGCATTCACAAATCTTCACACTTTTGTTACCATGCAGATGTTTATGACAGCTTTTGACAAATTCACAACTGTATCCTGCATTACTTAAACTGTATCCTCTTTATTAAGCCAATCATCTGTTACGCTTTCAATCCACCCAATTATAGTACACATAAAACATCTGGCTCTAGTAATATCATATTGCCCTGTGGCAATTTTCACAGTACATATTTAGCAACCCAACTTTTTGGTCTTTTTGGATAGTTATTGACTGACATTAATACTCAGTTTCTTAAGTTCTCCAAGACTTTAATTTAGTAACACGAAGCCCTCAAGCTAAAATGGTCCATCTTCCTGCTGCTTTTGGCTTCTCAGCTTTTTATTTAAACTCTTTTACAAGTAAAAAACTTTGCACACAAATGAGAATAGTTTATTTTGGCTCAAAGCTATGTTATGCTTACTCTTCCACATAAAAGCCTTGTGAAATTTTCTGTTGATGCAAAAATATCATTGAGGCCTTATACTGCAGATTGATGAAGACAGATTTCCATTGCGACAAATCCGGACTGTCAGAAACATTTCAGGTAATCGCTTGTTCTTGTGGCTGTTTCCCTTCTAGACGTGGAGCACAAGGAGGACGAGGGTGGGGACTCGGCAAAGAATGAGGTAAAACTGTCTTCCTGTTGTGTGCCTGCTGTGATATATGTGTGTACGTTTGTGTGTTTCCGTCTGTGAAAATTCAACCTTTCCGTTAATTGCTCAAGACCTCCAAAGAAAATTCATAGGAAGATGACATGGAAACTGTTTTTCCAGCCACTTGATTATGAAAGAAATGGTACCCTAATGGTGAAATATCAAATACACTTGGTCCTCTGCTTAAAAACAAGGGTCCCTGTTCTCCACCAGCCGTCGGGCCGCTCGAAACCTCTCCGTACTGATGAGTGCCCTTAGTTTGAGAGTCCCCCACTAGCCCATTTGCGAAACGCTCCAAAATCATTCGCAGACAATCCCCCTACTTCCTTCCTTCATTTAGGATCGCATAGATAGATAAGCACACTAAAACAGAGATAGAAAAAGTCGTTAATTTTTTTCTTTTCTTTTCTTTTTTTTTTTGCTTTTGTCCCTTTAAACAGGGAGCTCGAGGGAGGCTCCGTGGGGGAGTGGGCTGGGAAGTCAGCCTCCGTCAAAGACCCATGCCCAGAGTAACCTTCCAGGCCGGTGACCCTTATTACATTAGCAAGAGGACCAGGGAGGAGTTGCTGGCCAAGTGGAAGTTGGAGGTGAGTACCACTGCTCGCCACTGTCCCAGAGGAAGAGTCATAGGGAGCCTGTCAGCATTTCTAATATAGCAGGAACTTTTGCCAGAACGACGGCATCCCGAATAGACTCTGCGAAAGCCAAGTGTATTTGATGAGTCATTTGATCTCGCATGAAGGTACCATTTATTTCATGATATGTCTTGCTGGCTTCTTCTCACACTGAAAATCTAGTGGTTTACTTATTATAACCATGCACACACATGTCTGTCATGAATGCAGTGGCCATTCAGAGGTGTTAAAATCGGTAATGGTAGTTTGTAGCAGTCTGATCCATAGATACGTTTTTATTTTTTGTTTCTGATTGGTTATTGGCCAATATTGGAGATTTTAAAGTTTATCGGTAATAAATATTGGCTATTTAATTGTGCAAGCTTATTTACTCTATTTTGCATTAGGTTTTAATGTTTAATTAAATGTTTAAAATATTTATATACAAAATATTTGAAACGTTTATCACTTATCGGTATCAGTATATCGGTATATATTGGTAGATATATTCATCAACTTATCGGTATTGTGTATACCTATTTGTGATTGCCAGAGCATTTTTGTGTGGACAAAAAAACAACATGACTAGACACTTGTTGCTCCTGGTTAGGATCAGGGTCATTCCTAGCATGGGACGGGGCCAAGTGCAAGTAGAAGATGCAGGGTCCCCTTAAAGGATGGGGCCTGGTGCGGTTGGCCCAGTTGCACCGCCCTAAGAACAGCCACAGTTGGCCTTTGTACTGTTTAATTGTAACTTATTAATCTATTTAACTAATTATTGGAGACATCGCGAATAATTCAAGATCAAGAATGTGACATTTCAGGAAGAAAATCAAAGGTTATATCATAATTTCATTTTTTTTTGTCTAATAGTCTGAGTCATGTTGAATTTTTATACACGTTACATGAACGTGCAGAGCTGAAATTGTTGTGATGTGTCTTGACTTGAATGTGAAGCGTGACTAGTGGCACCTAAACTGCTTTCCAGAACACTCCTGTCTGTCATTTGCCGATCATACAGATAGTCCCACCCCAGGGTTATTTTTAAAGAAAATCCAGTTTAATATAATTTAAGGGACAAATTAAGAGGTACTTGAGCATTAAGGTTGGTTCACAACAAGAAAGATAACTATAGTTCACACTAACAGACCGGTAACACTTCAGTATCAATTCTCACTATTATCTAGTTGCTTGTTAGCATGCCTGTTAAAAACATATTGGCGGTTTATTAGTACTTATAAAGCACATATTCTGCATGACCATATTCCACATCTCTAATCCCAATACCTAAACTTAACAACTACCTTACTAACTCTTAATAAGCAGCAAATTAGTAGTTTATTGAGGCAAAAGCCATAGTTAATGGTTTGTTAATAGCGAGAATTGGACCTTAAAATAAAGTGTGACCAACAGACGAGAACATTCAATGTATTATAATAATGCACTGCAGTTTTGTCATCTGATGGTTAAAATGCTCGAGCTCTTTAAGGTCAGATTTATTCTGATTATCTCTAAATGTTTTTATCGTTCAACTGCTGAAAAAAAGTTTTAAAGTCATTCCGGTGATAACGTTTTTATGTGTTGTTATCGTTATTGTTGGGGAGTGGACACCACTTTTCTTATAGAATTAGAAAAATTATTAAAACTTTGTAGTTGAATGAGTCAGTGTGAATGACCCTTTACTGATCGGTTTGATGGGGTACAAAAAAGGCTGGGAAACACTGATGTAGATAATTAATTTAGCTCTCTTAAAGGAATAGTACACCCAAAGATAAAAATTCTGTCATTAATTACTTAACTTCATGTCGTTCCAAACCCTTAAGACCTTAATTCATCTTCGGAACACAAATTGACACATTTTTGAAGAAATCCGAGAGCTGTCAGACCCTGCATAGACGTTGTGGTACTCTTGTGAACGCACATCGAAGACCAACTCAGAAGAGAATAAATTGTTGAATAAAGTTATTTTTGTTTTCTTCGCGCACAAAAAGTATTCGCATGGCTTCATAAAATTAAGTTTGAACCGCTGATGTCACATGGACTATTTTAACGATATCCTTAATACCTTTCTGGGCCTTAAACGTGGTAGTTCTGTTGCTGTCTATGCAGGGTCAGAAAACTCTCGGATTTCATCAAAAACATCTTAATTTGTGTTCCAAAGATGAGCGAAGGTCAGGTTTGTAATCAATGACAGAATTTTCATTTTTGGGTGAACTATCCCTTTAACATCCATTGCTATAGTGAATCTCTAATAATCATCGCAGGTACAGGTGGTTCACAGTTTTCCTACTGTGTTGCATGGTGAGAACTGCTCTGTTACATAACGTTCTTTTTCCTCGGTAACCAAAGGGAGCCGACCAATCGACATCAAGCTTCCCCCGCCCCCATATTTTTTTTCTCCAGCCCTTGCCACACTGTGTTTGAGGATAAGCCATAAAAGTGTCAGGGATCCCAGAAATGTGGCCAAATTAGCCGGACACACAGTTGTCTCGTGAGTGGACGTCGTAAAATTCCAGAGAAAGGGGTGTTTCGCATTCTTCACGCGGACAGCAGGAATCCTCCATCGGGAGCCTGGGAATTTTTTTGTTCTCTGAATAGGCACATTGTGGAAGAGCGCAGATCGTAACATGTCATTTCTCTGTTTGCTCTCCGAAGGTCTGTGCAGTCATGTTTTCTCGAAGCAGCTCCACACTGGACACAACAATGCAGCAGGAAACTCTATAGAAAGGGGCCTTGATATGTTTCCTTCATCTAGCTACGAGGCCTGAGCCGCATACGGTCAGCAGAGCTTTGTTAGCATTGAAGGGGTGGCCCTAAGGGGGGAAATAAAACCCAGCCTGCTTTCACTTTCTGCGAGCGAAGGGGATCCATGTCTCTCTTTTTTCTTTTTGACAAGTGCCCAACGCTACAGTAGATTCCTCTTTCCCACCCCCATCCCGCTCACTTCACTCCTCCCCCTTTCCCCTCACTACTCTCTCTGCAGTGGAAATGAACTCCGTACTATAGATATAAGGGTGAAGATGAGGTTTACAGCGAATTTCCAGCGCTGCTTGCAAGACAGCCTCCTGGACAGCCGCCAACATTCTGCAAGTCCTCTCTAGCCAACCAGAATTCCTGTTGGGAACCACCTGACCCTGAATTCCCAGACAAAGAAATGTTCATGCTTTCTGATTTTTTTTTTTCTTTCCTTTTTTTTTATTATTTTTTTTTGAAGGGGTCTCCACTGAGCCAAGAGTGGGGCAAGAAAAAAAGCGACTCACACGTTGGATTTAAAGTGCCGAGTGCAGGCGTGTATGGGTAGGTCGGCTGGCTTGTTTGTTGTTGATAGCGCAGGGGACAGTGTGCATGTCTGAGTAGACTTGCTGGAGGAGGAATATGCTGACTTCAGGTATTTCCAGACTTGTTACGGACCATCTGCCCCAGGTAGCTTAAAGGAAACCCATCTCTTTAAAACCAGAGTGCCGGACCGGGCTTAAAACATTGCAAGTACAAGACAAAATGCTTTGCTTAAAAGGTTTTTTTTTCTAGCCTGTATGCAATCACAGGGGGATAGCAGAGAGCTGAATGTATTTCCTGTTTTACTGCCTCTGCAGGATGTTTTGCATAGGGCATATCTTTGGCTTTGTTAACGTTTGAAAGTTTATACTTGGCTTTTAAGTGTGCCGTGATCTAACAGTGTGCTTTTTGTGATTATTTATACATTAGGGTTGTAGAGACGTAGCATGTTTTAGCTCAAACTAATGCTTTTAGGCTTAGTTTAAAAGGAAAGTTTTGCTTTTGAGCTTGAAAACAAAGATAATAAGCTTTTTCAGTCTGTCAGATTCGGGTCGGTACCGCAAACACGTAAAACTGGCAGCGGTTGTCGCTTGTGTTGAAATGGAAATGCGGTGCGTGTCTTTTTAAGGATATGCAAATATGAATGAACCGAGTGAACCCGGGAAGCGTGTGTGATTAGTGCACTGCCAGAGCTCGCTCGTACTCTGAGTCAAGGCTGCACAGACTGAAGCAGGCAGACTTTTGCACTTCAGCTTTTGAAGATTCATTCGCAATTTAAGGAAATAACAGATTTTAGATTAAAGTATTTTTGCGCACCTTGAAGTGAATAAATAAAGAGAAGGCTTTAAAAAACTTTAACATTAAGGCACTTAGACTAAGGTTCATTTAGCATGCCTGACCTCTGCTGCACTACTAATTACTGAGTCTTTAATGGACCCAGCACAATCGCAAACTAAATGCATCCTCTATTCTTAGGACTTGGGAGGCTAAAAAGTGAACAGCCTTTGTTCGGTCTCTCACAAAGTCACATCAAAATAAATGCGATTGTCACACAATGGTGATAGCCATTCAACCCCTGCCTGTTGGAATTTCAGTGTGCACTGTTGTGCTGCCGGCATTTGAATTAAATCACACTGTTTCCTCGTATTGTTCAAAAAAGTTTAAGGGAACAGTATTTATTAAACATTGTTTGTTTGGAAACCGTTCATAATGTTTTTTATGCGCTGCAGACAGACTGTCCGTCAGCTGTGTTCAACAAGTTTGGCTTTTTACAGTTAAAATAAATAAATGAATAGAAATATCGAATTTTATTAAATTTATTAACATATTGTTTTATAACTTTGTATAATTGCTATGGTACAATAGCTCACCCCAAAATGAAAATCTGCTGAAAATGTACTCACCCTCAAGCCATCCGAGATGTAGATGAGTTTGTTTGTTCATCGGAACAGATTTGGAGAAATTTAGCATTACGTCACTTGCTCACCAATGAATCCTCTGCAGTGAATGGGTGCCGTCAGAATGAGTGTCCAAAAACATCACAATAACATCAGTTAACATCTTATAAAGTGAAAAGCTACATGTTTGTAGTAAACAATTCCATCATAAAGGCTTGTTTAACTTCAAAACATTGCTTCTGGCTAAAACACAAGCATGTAATCCATAATAACGCTTCCTTTAGTTTTTTTTCTGAATCA